CATGGTGAGTAGTGTTTTTCGCAATGTAGCCAAGAAAATTATATTAGCATGGACCACTCGTGTGCAGTTTATATCAGTTTTTATACACAATGTAATCTACTTTTTATGATAGGGCTACTCAGTAAACCAATTAATCCTATGAAAACCTGGGGTGTTGCAGAAAACGTGGGGTATCGAACCCCCACCCCGGGTTTTGATTCCCGTGAGGGTTGTCTATTCCCAACTGGGTTAGACCCAACCCCGGATATACCAGCGATTGGTCCCCCGAGGAACCACTGGAGCAAAATTAAGACGACATCTCCGTCGTCAACGCTGTCTATCATAGAAGATGAGGTCACTAATAGTTTACATATACGAGTCTACTCCGCCTGAAGCCCTATAGATACAAATGCGGAGATTCATAGTGGTCCTTTTAGTAGGGCCAATAAATAAATAGCAGTGGAAACCTTGGAAGTTATAGTTCGGATTAAACATTTCCCCTTTAAGACTGCCCTAATATTACCCCGCACTTGACTTAGATCTTTCAAGCCACCCTCGATATTGCTAAGAGGCTAGGATATTCCAAACGCATAGTCTCATGGAAGCCAGAAGGACGAAGAAAACATGCCAAAGCCTAGTGTCCCCCCAAAGAGGCGGCACCATGCCTCCATGGCATGCGTCTCATGCCGGGAGAGTAAAGTCAAGGTGACTATCAATTAGCCCGGTGGAAATTGCAAGAAGCTAATCCCGGCAGTGCGACGGTGGTAAGCCAAAATGCTCCAGCTGCATGAACAAACACCGCGAATGTCGATACCAGGCTGTAGACAAGAGAAAGTAAGTGACTCATTACGGCCATTTCTTAAAAAATGGCTGTTCGTTAGAACATAGCGCTGATCATGTTAAGACTCCCACTCCGTGTTGCCATAGAGCTTTTATCAAGCAGAGTTGAACAGCTCTGTCTCTTCATTCGCGAAAGTGGATTGGAGGCCCCGCCTATGCCGCAAGAAAAGGACACGGCTCTGGCTAAAGTCCTTGATCTCCTTGGCTTGACTGAAGTTCATTCAGCTGCAGGAAATAATCGAATTAAGAGAAAATCCCCCGACCCCAACTCCCCATCTGCAAGGGATGATCTGCCTTCTGATGCACCAACTTCTGTGCCATTCTCCGCTGCCGGTATAGCAAATGATTTGAGTAGCACTTGGGCTCAGACATCAAAGTCCCCGGGTAATACATCGCAAAATTCTCAGTCGAGTTTTGCAATGCTTTCGGATCCTCATGCAGTGTCGACACTGCCCATGATCCTCAGCACCGGAGATCTGGACGTCTCAATTGCAGAACAGTATCAGCCCGTGGATGATCACTCGGATCATTCATTGGCCAACTGGGACTGGACCTTGGATTTTGGAACATGCATTACACCACCATCTCCAGACATCCAAGACATTGGAATAGAACCACCACAGTCACCAGGGGAGCAACTCGAGAGACGACCTGAGCCCTTTGAGCCTGCCGCCGTTCAAACCCCACCCAGTCTCGACAACGATACTAGGAGCACAGAAGAAATTGAAGATCTTATTGATGAGCTTTCTGATCGGATGGGCACATTGCGCTTTGGTCCCGGAGGGCGAGCTCGCTTCTATGGCCCGACATCGACCTTCAACCTTGCCGATGCTCCAGTGTCTATCAACATGCAGAACCAACGTACCGTCGATTATCTCGACAGTACAGAATATGACAGACAAGTCCCAACATCTCTCAAGGAGCATCTCCTCAATCTCTATTTTACGTGGCAAGATCCATCGTTCCACGTCGTCGACCGGGAAATGTTTGAGAAAGGCAAGACAGCCTGGGATGGGAGGGAAGTGACCCCGTTCTATTCCGAAGCACTCTGCTATGCAATGTGAGTTTGACTCAATTCAACAAAAATAGATTTGTAAAATAACATTTAGAATAGGTGCTCTCTCGGCGCTGCTTTTGAAACCCGTTACCACCCATCCTTTGTGACGTTCCCAAAGTCTCTTGGGGAATTTTTCGGTGACCATGCAAAAGAACTTCTTGAAATTGAACTAGACTCTCCATGTGTGGCGACAGTCCAGGCACTAGTCATCTTGAGCAGCCATGAAATTGGTGTTGGCTCAGATACACGTGGATGGTTATACAGTGGTAAGTTCTATCGAAAGTTCCTGGGTTGCTTAGCTTACAACTATAGGAATGGCCCTTCGACTTGCTTTTGATCTTGCCTTGCATATCGACCTATCTCCCTATGTTGCTCGTGGGTCTGTTACTGCTGCCGACGCCGAGCTACGTCGAACTGTCTTTTGGGCAGCGTATATGGTGGATCAGTGAGTTCCCGCGGTGTCCTCGTATTCGCTCAGGATATATCTAATCTGTGTAAACTACAGTCTTGTCGGCTTCTACCTTGGCAGACCTTTTTACACCAACATGGAGGATGTGACAGTGAAAAAGCCCAACGATGACGTCGACTACCGAGCACCTTGCAAATGGACGCCCTACGCATCTCCCATTCCGTTTGACAACAATTCGGGATTATATGACTGTGTAGGGGCTGTCAGTCGACAGGAAGTCTCACTATGTGAGCTTATGGCACCTTGCGGCTATTTCCTGTAAGTTCCTGTTCTCGTTTGTTGTCTCTCCTCGGCTGCCTCAATTGGGCCCAAGTCAGTGCTTCAGCTAACATAGCCTTCACCCCGAAAAGATATGGAACGTCAGGTATTCCAAGAGCCTTGCTCCAACAGCTCAATGCAGACAATGTTGCCAAACTTCTCAATTGGAAAGCTCAGTTGCCCTCGGTTTTACAAATCGACCTCAACAATCACACTTCTCCTTATCTTCCGCATGTGCTACTACTTCAGTGAGTTGCCATTATACTTCTCTTCAAAGGTATCAAGGAACATGTTTACTAACTCATCTGAAAGCATGCAATATTACCAGAACCTCATCTACAGCCATCGACCCTGGATGTCAAAAGGCTACCTGCAACCACAACCCCCGAAGGGACCTGGTTCCACACACGCTCGGGAGATGTGCATCAACTCCGCCATCTCCATTGCCAAAATCCTTGTATTATACGAGACCCGATATACCCTCCGCCGCATAAACATCAAAGCCGTCTCAATTACCTCCTCCGCCGTGCTCCTACTTCTCTTCGCCGCCGTGTCCCAGTACCAAACGCCGAAAGGAGAGAATATTATCGCTCACCTGAGCACTTGTTTCAGAGCCCTCGATGAATTCTCCCTATCCTGGCAAAGTGCCAATCGCGCTAAAGACCTCCTGGTAAGACTCCAACATAAATGGGAGATCCGCACACGTGCTGCCAAGCCGGACCGCGGACCCGATGGGACTGATTACCCGCCAAGAAAGCGGTCACGAACACTTAATGGATCTGACGCCATTTCTAATCGTGGAGGGCTTACAAATACACAGCCTGAGACGCGCGATTTTCAGTTAGAGTCTGGGTTGGGATGGATGCTTATGCTCAGCGGTCAGCTGCCATCGGATGGGGACGAAGGTCTTTATTCATTCGTTGCGAACACCGATATTGCGGAACCCGAACCCGAAAGTAAATAGATATCAGGAGATTCCAATTTATTCATTTTTTTGATGAGAAATATGGAAAAGAAAAAGCTGCAGATGCTCACTGGATCATTGATAAATGGTAAAATGGTTGATCCACAACGGTGATCCTTCTAAAATTTGGGTGCTTTTTTAAATTGGGCTGGGCCGAAGTTCTACCAAAGTTTTTGCACACTCAGCCACTTAATTAATTACAGTTTACATGGTTCGAACCCCTGCATTTTCTGCACCAAAAATTGCTTATTTACACCTTATTAGTGTATCAACATACCATACGGAGTATACCTTCATATATGCCCTTCATATACTCCGTACGGAGTATGCATATTGTTCTCCTCTCCTCATGCCCTGATTTCGCCCCGCAGTTGCCCCTGACCTCAAACCATGATCACCCCCTGCTTATGCCATCACCGCCAGTTTCACCATTGCAGCCTATTTCACGACCTATCGCAAGCCTATCGCAAGCCACCTCAAGCCTATCGCAAGCCTATCTCGGGGGTACTTCGGGGCTTGTGTCGGGGCGTGTCTCGGTGATTGGTGCGGCACATTGCGGGACAAGAAGCCCGGGGCAGATTCGGGAACAAGCTCGGCGGAATCTAAATTCCCACACTCTACGCTGTACTCCGTAACTATAAAGCTATCGTAGTGATGAAACTGTTGGTGAAATTTTTACTAGGGAGAGAAATGAGATGAGGAATCACATGTGACAGGTGTAACATGTTTTTGTTCCAAATTGCAGGTGACTTACTCCTTACGGAGTACAGTCTTAAGTACATTCTATGCCTAGACCTTGGGATAGGGGCAAGGCAGGAGCGTTGACCAAATTAGGAAGGCGGAACTCGAATTCCATCGAGGCTGGTGGAGAGGTGGGTCGCTGGAGCATAGCCATGCGCAACCCTAAATGAATACCAACGGTTTATCCAAACAAACTTTTATCACATGAATAACGTGGCGATCTCATATGTAGATCGATTTCAAATAGAATGCCAAGTCCGCACCATCTTCTCTCTCCCACTCTAGTTCTCCGTTCCCAAGATACGAAAACGGATCTGAGATGTTGTTGTACCGGATATCGAAGTCCTCACCCCGAATATCCTCGATAGCCTCTATTGCGAAGTCGGTACTCCATATATTATCACGAAATATCCCTCCAATGCCAATTGCCAGACTTCCCTTTGTAATGTAATACACTGCCTAGGTACATCGCCGTAACAGCTTGTCCCTTGTTATACCAAGTATGACAACCCTTGCTCCACGCAGTGCGCTTTAGACCCGCTTGCGCACGACGATTATAGTTTCGAACGGCGGAGTCGTTAACTGCTACGGGCCTGTTCAGATATTATTTGGAGACCATGTACCCCATCTCTCGCAATAGTATTTACTTGATATCCACCCGCGCTATCTTCTTCGACCATTTCAGCATGTAATCAGCAGTTCAACTGATCGTCTTGGGTACGCTGCCATGTGCCTCGGGATACCTTCTCCCACTCCACATCAAGCCGTCGACCCTCCCACCCGGGGACGAAGGTGGTATCAAAGCCAGTCGCACAGACATTTAAGTCACATTCCTCTTCGCCTGCTGCAGTGCGAATGCTGGTCTTGGTAATTTCCTCAATGCCTTCAAAACACCATTTAGCATTTGATTGCTGTAGCGCTTCGAGGTACCCATCACCAAGACTCAGTCTGCGACATCCAATTTCGAACTTAGGGATTAGCTTGTCGATCAGGTCTGGGTTATCACTTGAGACGCTGGTGCATAAGCCCCGAAATTGCATCAAATAGCATTTAATTATGCTCAGAGCCAAACAACATCAGACGATAGACGGTGTTGGCACTTCTCATAGTTAGTTCTGATTCAAGTGAAAAAAAAAAAATAAGCTGTAAGCAACCTACGAGCAGTCAGCCCGTTTCCTGTGCTCCAGGAATGCTTAGGGATCATCTCGGAACTTCGCTTTCTCTTCTTCGCTATACTCAAGTTCGCTCTCATTCTATCCTTTGTGATGTTTGGGGAGAGATTGACCGACACCCAGGTCGGGTGACAAACATAATTGACGATCCTTGCGGCCTTGGGCTGGAGCGCAGGACCAACTTGGATACCAGATGAGCCGTCACCGATGACTGCTATTATTTTCTTGTCGGGCCAATCGTACGTTTTGTCCCAAGTAGCACTGCTGTGTGGACAAGCTTTCCAGTAAACGCCTCCAAACCGGCGATGTCCGGTATGTTCCATGGGTTGAGAACACCAGAACCATTGATAAGAACGTCTGCTTCATCATAGATGATTGTGCCATTCTGCTTGAGCTTTATCTCAATTTCGCCACCACCAATATAGCATTTGGACCAGTTCGGATTGGGGTCGAATAGTAAGACATAGTTGTGGGCGGGGACATCGCATCCAACGCCCGGATAGACATTCTCAAACCATGAACCACCAACCTCGCAATTCTTTTCGTAGATTGTGAAATCCACAAAATCAAGTGGATGCTTATGTTTCAGTTTATGTGCGAGAATTATGTCAGATATACCTGCTCCTATGCAGATGACTCGGAGTTTGCGCTCTTTGAGAGCATATCGACCGGGGTTTATATTGATAGTCTCACTGTACTCCGTACCCGTAAAGGAATTTGTTGGACGACATGGTGGCGCACATCAGTGGAGATGTTTTTTTCTTTTTTTCCCCTATCTGTTTCTTATCCCACTCTCCACTTTGTGTAGGAAGACGGAAAACTTCCGGATCCGACTAATTACTCCGTACTCAGGGGTTGTCCCCATAGGTTTAGCGTCAAGACAGTAGTACATAGTAGCGCTAAGTAGCGCGGACCGGATTTTGAAATTAGATCCGAATCCTTCTGAGTGAGGATTCAAAGCCACGTCATAGGCCAATATCATTTGATGGGTTTCATCCAAGACGGGAAGTGGAGATCCGATTGATATTGTCTACGGGTTGTGTTGGGGCCGTTTCTTGGCCATGCATTTCAAAGCCCGTGAAGAGATTTAAACTATCAATGTATGAAAGTATGAAAAATCTTAATTTGGGACTGGCTTTAAAGATAGCTCATCCTGTACTCACCCTATTTTTTCATCGGATGTGAGTCTTTTCTCTAATTCTCTACATGTCGCACAGCCCGATTGGGCAGCCTCCACCAGGCACGGATCTATCCGCCGATCACCCACTGGACATTTCCGGTGTGATCGTTACCTATGCCATTGCCGTGTTAGTTGTCGGGCTTCGGTTCTATACAAGATTTAAAGTGCAAGGTGTACGAATACTTGCAGATGATTGGATGATCGTGCTTGCCCTGGTATGTGGTCACTGAAAAAAGAGAAAGAAAAGAAAGAAAAGAAAGAAAAAGGAATCTGTTTTTGACAGATATGTACAGTTGTGTGTGACCGCAGGTTTCGCTTTGGTCGTGATTGGTATTTATACATCCTTAGTCGGCGCAAAGCAATCTCAATTCTGACTTATTGGTAGTAAATGAAAATCCTTGTATCGGGAGACATGTATGGACCGTCCCTCCGGTCCAAGTCCAGGACATGATGCGCATTCTCTTCGCCTTCGTCGTCCTCTACGTGACCAGTGCGCCACTCATTAAACTATCTATCATTTTTTTCTACCGCCGTATCTTCGGAATGACATATTCAATCTGGTTCTGCGTGTTTCTGTCGGTTGGATATTTTGTCTCTGGCATAATCGCCTTTCTGGTTTGCTGCAGGCCAGTTTCATACTACTGGACACAGTTTACAACCCCCGATGGCGGAAAATGCGTCTACGACCTCTACAAGTTCTATCTCAGCTACGCTGGCGTGAATGTGATCACAGATGTCGCCATCCTGTTGGTTCCAATTCCCATTGTGTGGAGGCTGCAAATGCGAAGGACACAGAAACTCCTAGTATGCGGCATCCTTTTGATTGGAGGATTGTGCGTTATCTCTTCCCTGGTTAAGTGTATTTGGCTCAAGCTTATATTTTTCTAGTGTCTGCGTTGCAAGTCTGGTCCGAATTTATTATATAACCTTCCTCAAATCCGGAGATTACACCTGGGTCATCGGCAAAGTCTTCATGTGGTCCAGCATTGAGCCCTCCATCGGCATTTTATGCGCCTGTCTTCCAACATTGCATCCACTGATCCGCTCCGTTATGTCCCGCGTGTTTGGCACTAGCTCGGCGAGGTATGTTGGTTCAAGGCAGCCAGAGGCAACGAATAAAAAGACATTTATTCGTCGACAAAGGCCACTTGACTGGGATGAGACATTGTTGACTACACATGATATACAAGTCGAGATGAGCGGAGTCAGGAGGGATCATCATACCGAGGAAGGGCATATTACAGTGGACATGGAGTTTCAAATCGTCGAAGAGAGCAACCAACTAAGTAAACGGTAGCGGGTAATATTTTACCCCTAGGGCATTATTTTTGCCTGTTTTCTAAGGTATCTACCTTCCCAATACAGTCTAGTCAACCTTGGAAACCCCGGACTTGCTGACTAATGTATTTTCCCCTCCAGGGCTCGGAGCAGGTCTCGAAGGCTCATGTACCGTAATCATCCATCTTTCCGAGAGCGCCGTAATGGTGTTAAAAAAATGTTCCATCTGTTCGCGGGTGTTCAAAAAAACCGAACACTATAAGAGACATGAACGGTCGCGTCAGTCACGTTGAATCCCCCTGCAAGAGCTACAATCTAACATGCAAAACAGACACCAAGGAACGCCCATATGAATGCAATGTCTGCCATAAACGTTTCTCTCGAAGGTAAATTCCGTTGAAGGCGCATGTGAATTGTAACAATATTCAAAATCTCCTATGTTCAAATCCCTGAATTGAATGAGCATACAGCGATGTCCTGAGCCGACATGCCAAAGGCCATAATCAAGCCAATGCGACAGCCGGTCCATCGGAAGCACCAAATCAACAGTCATCAGTAATTGCGGGTGCGCCATCAATGGTCCCCGGATCAGGAAATGGTCTCAACAGCGCAGAAGCACATGTTCCACCTCTATCTAGCACGCCGCGAGATGCGCCTCTCGCATCAACGGGGCTTCCATCATCACTAGATTACCTAGCCGACATTTCAGCCCACCATGGCCGCACCGAGCCAGATCTCGGCGTGATTGTGATGGACGACCAGCAGCAGTACTTTGGATGGAATGCAGTCACGGCTGCAGATCAGGTGTCACATCGAGCTAGCTTGCCCTTTGATCCTGGGCCAAAAGACATGCTACAAATGTGGCTTGAACCTCGCACAGACTCAGGGTCAAATGACTCGCTAGATTTGATGCGCGATAGCCATTTCCCTTTGATGGGTGGCAACTTGACGATTACTCCAGACCAACAGAATCAACATTCAGTCGACAGCAGCGATAACATCCCCAATGAACGCTTTGCTAGGGTCCAGCAGTGCTGGCTAGCACCTCCGAACACCGGGCGTCTTATCAACAGTTTATGGCGGGATATCGCCATGTCGCCTGTTGATAATATCTTCTCAGTTCAGCCATCACACCTTCATAGCGAGTCAAGTGTCGTTCAAGGGTCGCGGTGTGGATTCGACGAGGATTGCAGACGGCGACTGCAGGCAGCTTTTGGACCGATGACTGTTTCTGGGCATATGCAATCTCCCATAAATAGGAATATTGCTCCAGCCACGCCTGCCTCGACCTTGAATCATTCTGAGTTCCCTCCTGCTGAGATCTTGGATATGGCACTAGACTTATTTTTCCGCATCTTTAATCCTCTCTTGCCATTTGTCCATCAGCCGACATTTTCGGCAAGGAAGGCGCGACCATCTCTCCTATATGTTATGACGCTGGTTGGCATGACATTGCTTGGCACCAAAGGAACAACTGCGTTTGTGTCCAGAAATTTCTCAGTATGTCAAATATTGTTAATCGCGTTGTATATGCAGGTAGCTTACCGACAGTCATTAGGGCGCTTTGGACAATGTCACAGCTGAATTTTCTCGAAGCTCGATGGGACTTGAGAGCGCTTCTGGTACTATGACATTATTTGCGACAGCTTTGCTTTTATTAAACCTGGCTGGCTTGACCGGGGTATGATCCCCCTGGTTTGAACTTGCTGGATTGAAGGTACTAATTGATGTCATTTTGCAGGAAAAGGTACACCTGGAACAGTGTCAACCTCTTTATATCAACGTCATGTCTGTGAGTGTGAATAGAAGCTTCTTACTTTCCTCTATCGATGTGATACTAATGGCAACTACTGCAGGTCGCTCAGAGACACGGATTGTTTTCAGCCACTGAGGGACAGATCCTTGACATGACTCTGTTCGAAACAGTTCCCGATTTTGAGCTGAGATGGAAAGCATGGAGCAAGATCGAATCAACCAAGAGGTATGCCGCGATTCCTGCTCATACAACAGTGTTCGGAACTAATATTCCCCCCCAGAATAATCATAGGACTTCTGCTCCTGGACTCTTGGTACTCTTCGTTCCTCTCAACCGGTCCAATCACAGTCCCAGATTCAGTCCAACTCATCCTCCCCTGCAGTGAATCTCTCTTCAGCGCTCAATCCTCTACTCAATGGACACACCTAATACGCAGCGGCAAGCGCATCCTCTCCTCAACAATCCTCGCCCCATCCGAAAACATCAACGTCCCCGCCCTAGAAGCCCCCGCAGATGACTTCTGTATACAAGCAATACTAGCAATAGTTCAACTCCGCCAGTCAGAATCCTACCACCGCCTCCTCTCCAATCGAGCCAGCTACCCCTTTGCTCCATGTCACACCTACGCCATGGACGGCCGAGCAAGGTGTCTCCCCTCCCTCCAATCCCAGCTCATCACAAACTATGGTGAAACCCTCGACCGCCTAAACCCCAACGCTCTCATCACATGGCACAGCATGTGCATGACTCTCACAGCCGATATCCAAATATTCGACCTTGCAGCTGGCCGTGCAGGCCCGGCTCCCGCGCGCAAGGCCCTTGACGATATCCGCGAGTGGTCACAGACACCTGCAGCCAGGCGCGCATGTCTGCACGCTGCGCATATCTACAAAATCATGACAAATCGCAAAGCATCCGAACACCCCACGTTCCAATCTATGTTCTCGCTCTTCTCGGCCGGATTAGTGCTTGGTCTGTATACGTTCATGGTGTCAGACTCTACGGGTTCGCCATCTAGTCTCGGGTCTGTGGAGCTGATGGACGATGTGGACTGGAGAGAGGTGGGCACGGAGGGGTTCACGAGTTTTATGGAGCCTAGGGGAAGTCAGACTCTCGTGTCAACAGATGATCCTGCTGTTAACTTCATTCGCAATGGGGCTACGATCTACTTGCGAGGAGTACCGTTGCACGGTGGGTATCAGTCTGCGCGTCGGATCATGCTTGATTATGCCTCTCTTCTCAAGGACTCTGGGAAGTGGAATGTCAAGAAGTTCTCTTATATTTTATACATAATGAGTGATGTTCTTATGGATGTCGAATGATAATGTCTCAACTGGGATTGACGAAAGAAATCCTTTGTGGTAGATTCTCTCTTGTTTTTTGTGTGCCTGATACATCCATATTAAATCAATTTCAAAGTAGGAGTAATCGGGGCCTAGGTGAGGAAGGTGCCCAAATAACAAGCGGAAGTCAGGCCCAGTAAACCTTCCCTTCCTATACGAACGGTGTAGGATCATTGGATCTTCATTATGCACCTCAATCGAGCTAGACTGACTCGAGCTAGCCTCGAAGGCTCAGCTACATAGGGCCAAAATAAGAATAGCTGACCTCAAATCACACTCCTGGATATTATGATGCTAGACGTTTACTGTTGGGTGATATTGGCGCCCATGGCTCCTAATAATGGTATGAGGGAGTAGAAGCTCTCAACACAAACGCGCACAGCGATGATGACGCCGAGGAGGAACAGACCCATCACAAAACCAATATATGGCATCGAATCGATACCCACCAATATTGGTGGTTTGTTTCACTACTCCATCCTTACTAAACCTTTCTATAGCCCGGTTGAAGCCTATCTATCACGTCATTATCTGAACTGAAGATAAACCATTCTGCTTATATTCTATATGTTACCATACTGCATTTTACGGCTTTGAATTGATAAAAAAACAACTTCCATTGACAGCATTGCATTCTGACAGAAGCTAATTTCTATAATCGATCAGCCGAAATAAACCATAGCTACCCACGTACATACTAAGCCCCGTTGATTGTATTACGAGACCCCCTGGGCCATCACCCAGAATACGCTGAGTATCAACCATCAGCTTGCCAGCCGTAATCTCCTCCCAGTGCGAATCAGCAATCTCAGCTGCACTCCACAGAATATGAACACGTAAAAGCTCGGGGTCTCCCACAACGGGCAACGAGAGACAGCATGGCTGAGTGTGGTGCAGAGGCATAGATGTAATAGTGGCAACTCCGGATCGGCACTGCTCGGCCATAAGACGCATCATCCGGTCGCCGCTGGTAGGCTTGGTTCGTCCGCCAAATATAGTGAAATCTACCGTAACCCAGTGAACGAATTGGGTCGACTCAATATCCGGGATATTAGTGCCATTGGGGCGAGAGAACATACCTGGTGGAGACATCTTGGTTGAGATGAGAAAAGTGCGTTTAGATAGTTGAATTAGTATGAACCTAAGGTAATTGTGATGACTGGCTCGAGATGGGCTTAGATGGGATGATGAGCTTAATTGATGGGATGTATGGCCAGTTAAATACTAGCACCAGTCCACATGTGCATGTTGTCGAGTCTTTGTTAGGAACAATTGCCTTCACTGTCTTTCATGTCTATATCCGAGCCTTTGGGGAGTTTTCCCTTTGCCCCTTTATCCATATTTAGCCAGAGGTTATAGTCCATTTGAGCTCCTCCCGGCTTTTCTTGTCCTACATATCTATAGATGTAAAAGACGATGAAAGATGAGGCTATATCTTTTTTATACTTTTTTATTTTTTATAGTTCCATAGGTCGCAGACTTTTGAGTTCGATCTATGTTCTCCAGGGCTTAGCGTGATCCGGCTTCGGGATCGCGTCATTCCTCCCGAGGTCATTACCGAGGCCGCGGGGGTGCTCCTTCCAAAGTATCCTTCCTTCCTCGCAATCTGCTGGTCAATTGCGCCTTCCCGATATGTCTGCACGTGCTCTGCTTAAGCAGCAATTTAAGCTTAAAAACAAGCTTCCCATTCGCTGCTTTTCTAGCACCCGATCCACCAATGCGGACTTCACTCATGCGGTACAGTGCACCCGAGATCCAAGACAGAGACCTAAGGCTAATCCGAATGAAAGGTAATTGGCGCAGGCGTCGTCGGCCTCGCGACCGCACGGCAACTTGCAGCTCGCGAAGGCACCTCAACCATTTTACTAGAGCGCCATGACGCACCAGGGACAGAGACAAGCAGTCGCAACTCCGAGGTATGCATGCTATGCGACAACCCCACCCCGAACATTTGGCAACAGACACAACAAACCAAATAAACTAACAATATCCCCTCACCAACCAGGTAATCCACGCAGGTCTCTATTACCCCGCAACCTCCCTCAAAACCAGCCTCTGCATCCGCGGCCGCAACCTCCTCTACGACCTCTGCGCGCAAAACAACATCCCCCACCGCAACACGAAGAAATGGATCGTAGCGCAGACCCCCACGCAATGGGAAGCCTGTCTGAAAATCCACGCCCACGCACAAGGACTAGGTGACGCCCCGACACGGCTAGTGGGACGCGAGGAAGCGCAGCAGCGCGAACCAGACGTCAAGGCCGACGCAGGCATCGTCGAGAGCGAGACATCCGGTATCGTGGACAGTCACTCGCTGATGACCTATCTGCAGGGCGACTTTGAGGACCGTGGAGGTGACATTGCATTCAAGACACGCGTAACAAGCGTGGAGGCCATTGACGGCGGCCGTGGCGGGTACAAGATCACCGCTGTCTCGGATGAGGATGGTTCAGTTACGTCCATCACGGCTGAGACGCTGGTAAATAGTGCTGGCCATGGCGCGTGTGATATTAGCAACATGCTCCTCCCGCAAGAGCGCCATTTTGTTCCGCATTATGCTAAGGGCACGTATTTCTCTTATGCGTCATCCAAACCTAAGACTTCAGTTTTAGTTTATCCGGCGACTTTGCCCGGTACTGGAGGGCTTGGTACGCATCTAACGCTTGATATGGGTGGCCGCGTTCGCTTTGGGCCGGATGTTGAGTGGGTGGATAGTCCTGATGATTTGGTTCCGAGCGCTGCGCGTTTGGAGCGGGCATTGCCGGAGATCAAGGCCTATCTTCCTGGTGTCGATGTCGATGCCATCGCGTTGGATTACTGTGGCATTCGTCCTAAATTGGGGAGGGGCGGTGCTGTAAATGAGGGTAAGGGATTCCAGGACTTTATTATCCGGGAGGAAGAGGGTCTTCCTGGGTTCATCAATTTGTTGGGTATTGAGAGCCCAGGCTTGACGAGTTGTTTGGCGATTGGTGAGATGGTTAATGGTATTTTGTACCGTTAGGTATCTCTTTCTTCTTGCATTTTGGCTTGTAATTACTACATTTTTGGATGGTATATAGAAAATACATAGGAGGAAAAGAACATTGGACATAGACTATTAACCAAACCATCCCCTCAACACTTTGCGTAGAATTTCAGAAAGAGCACGACCTTCGGCTTTCTAACTTTAGAGGAAGCAAAGGGTAAGCATAAGCATCGAGGCTCAAGGACCAATGACATCGAACACATGAGGTGAGATTTTAGTTCCATTGCCTATATCAACGACCAACCCCAATCACTACACTACACTACATACATCAACTCCCACTTATCCCCGAAAATGACATCCCTCCTCACAACGGTAGGCCTCCGTGCCTCCCTTAACCCCAACTCAAATCACGGCCCCATGTTCCTAACATTCAACTTTATTCTCGCCTACGGCCTTCTCTCCTCGCGCACCCTAAAGCAATGGTACGGCCTCGACCATCAAGTCTCGCCGCGCGAAGACCTAGCCAAATACGGCGAGGCAGCTGTGCGCGAAGGCAAGATCACTCGCAGACAGCTGGATATGCTCAAGCGCAATGAGTCAGCGCATGCTAATGCGGTCGAGAATTTCCCATTGCTGGTTGCCGGTGTGCTCTTTGCATCGTTGGCTGGTGTCCCTGCGCGGAGAATTAATGCCGCGGCGTTGTCGTATACTGTTGCGCGCGTTGTTTATGGCGCTGTTTATATTTTTGTGGACCATCCTACGTGGAGTCAAGTGAGGGGGTTGGTTTGGTGGTGGGGGAATGTGAGTTGCTTTTTCCTATTGTGGAAGGCTAGGGAGTTATTGGCTTGAGGGATTGGAGCTTAGTGTATGTCAAGTGTACTGTATTCTTAGCGGAGTAGCATAGTACTAGAATAAAAACAACGTACAAGAAGGCAAATGTGTACTCTGTCAGTCATCAAGACTGAAGCAATAAACAAGACAAAAACCCTCATGTGCAATGCACAAAGCGAAAAAGAACAGTACCGGTACGCCATGACAGGATAAAAAGCGAAAGAAAGTAACCCCAGCGCAAAGTATGAACATGTAAAGCTCACTCCAAAGTCAACGTCCAGCGTCTATACAAAAACTCAAACACCCGAGCAACGAAAGTTCTGGACAGTAATACACAAAAGTAAACAAATCATTTCAAGCCAAATCCTTCGCTATTTACAACTGCATCCCAGAGCAGCCGCTGGAACTTCTCCCGCGTGGGATAGCGGTAAAGGCCAAGCGTGTTGAAACATGTACGCGCAATCGGGTAACGGGGACAGTCATCCCCAAGACAAGCAAGTCGGATAATAAGGCTGGTAGCCCCCATGGCAGGGATTCGATCGCTGCCAGTAATGAATGACAGGATCTTGCGCTGATCTTGAGGCTGCGATTTCTCAAAGAAGTCCCAGAACCATCGCACCACGGGGAGCGACTCTGGTCGTGGGTGTGACCAGTTGTCGTAGGTGGCAACAGCCCGGAGTGAACTAACATCGAGTGGTTCATCTGAGCCGCGGACTAGCATTTCGATCTCTTCTGGTCGGAACAGTGATAGTGCATTGCCACCGCAAACCGTGAAGAAACCGCGTTTGAAAGGTTCGAATTGTCGGGCCACGGCTGCGTCTAGCAGATATTGGACATACAAATCCACAAACTCCCGCTTGTTGGAGTTGGTCACCGGCCGCTTCTCGCCATTTGCACAGAGTGGCACGCTGATGATCTCGCCGTAGCGATCGACCTGGGCAACGAAATCATAGCAGAATGTCTCGGCGACATCGCCTTCAAATTCTAGTAGACCCCGGAGTCCTTTGGCGAGAGTTGGCCGGTACTCGGCAAGGTCTTCTAGGGTGCATTTGAAGGTCGAACGCATGGAGGTAGCCGTTTGGGGACCGTTGGCGTGCGGCGCTGATGACAGCAATTTCTTGAACGCAAACGGCGGGAGATCAACATCAAGGATGGTGGAGTTGTAAATGGCGAGGCCTAGAAGAACTCCAACCAAGAAAAATTGTTCGGATGACTCAAAGCAATACGGATTAAAGTAGCAGTACTGCGAATCATCATCGTAGATGAAGAGGCCTATTTTGAATTAGTGGGTCGTTCACTCTAAAATCGGAGAACGCTTACCATGAAGCGGGTCAAAGACCTCTCGGACGAGCAGAAGGAACCATTCCTTCCGCAGGCCACCAGCGTCAATGCCTTCTTCGCCCAAAAATTCGATCCGGAGACCCTTTTTGATTTCTTCTTGGCCAGTGCCAACGACTTCACTCACTCCCTTGAGGCTGTCTTCAATCAAACACTCGCGTCGTACCTTCAACACGAGATACTGACTAACCGCCGTGTGATTGAGGACACTGTTGAAAAATGCATCGCGTGCTTTCACTTCCATTTGACGACGCGCATCATGCTCCATGATGTGGATTTTGGCCCAGATGCTAAGGAGGAACGGATACTGACAGAACGAAAACTTCGCAACTTTAGCTTCCCAGGTCTCGAAGTCCGTCACTAAATCCGAATAGTCCAGCAGTGTATTGTAAAATGTGCTGATCGGAATCATATGTCCTTGGCGAGGTCCGGGGTTCTTGGGCATTTCAAGACTGCGCGGGGTTCCATCAGACTTCCTCGTTGAAGAGGAGGTGTTAGCCGTAAAGAACAACGACAGTACTCTTGCCGCCGCTCTGACCTGCCAGTCCTCGGCGTATATTATGGGGTCTTCTGTTTTTTTGCCAGGCTTCTTGTTCGTGGTACTTCGATTAATCGCGGCGTGAAGTTCTGCAGCAGTATTTCCCGAAGCACTGGCGAAGCTCGGTATTAGATCGTCTCCATTTTGAGAGTTTTGGGGGTTTGGGGGCGCTTTCGCCCATGCTGACGACTCAAACGGTAAGTGAGAAATCCACCGACAAGTTCTACCAGTCGTTCGAAATGTCTGACCGAGAAACGGGAAGCCCAAGACACGATGTAGTGGTGGCAGTCATTAGGCAAATTAGACATGAGTCCGAGGATTCTTTTGATAATCCCATAGTGATGACTGGAGCCCTCTGGACGAGCAGGGGCTTTGGGCGACTCTTTCTGCAAGGGTTTTCCGTTTGTCGACTTCGGGTAGTCTTTTGGATTCGATGGGCGCCTATCGTCTCCATGAGGCGGCAAGGTGGGCGCCTGATGGCAATAAGCCGCAGGTGAATACAAGAGAGGATTCGCTAACAGAATGAACAAGAACCTAGTATCTTCTGGTTTCTTTAGAACACGGCGCGGGCGCTTGAGGGCGGCCTCGGTAGCTTTCAACAGTGCCCGTTGTAAGTGCAAACGGGACTCGCTGATTTGTCTCCCAATCAAGGATGGATCAATAGACGCCCATCTCTTGGCTCGGATCGAATCAGCTTCTGATCGTGTGGGGTCAGGTCTTTTTGCAGCCCAGAGCTCAGTCCAAGAATTCCCCGCAGACAGAATTGAATGATACCACTGAGCTAACTCAGTCCAGTTGATCCGAGGACTTCGCGATGATATCATTCGAGACTTTGGGGCAGTCTTCTCTTTTGAATACGCGGGATTTTGGCCTTCAGCTTCAGCCCACTCATTCATCCACCAAGCGGAGTTCTCGGTCAAATCCCCCAAAAGAAGAGTTTTGGCATCCGGTTCAAAGACAGGAGCGTCATGCGCTGGTTCGGGCATTGTGGTCGGCTCCATCCTCATTCTCGACGGATTACCATTACTCGCTGATCGAGTTGATCGAGGAGGTGGGTACGTGGTGAAAGATTCGTTGAGGCAATCACAACCTTTGAAGGCAGTGGCGATCGTATTTTCCAGCCGTTTGAAAATGTGTGTCCGATTGTCCGAGCTTTTAAACTCCGGGTTCCCAGCTCGTGAGACATCTTGCGGGTGGCATTCTGGCTTTGGAGTTGATCGGAGATCTGAATTTGCTCGGATTCTGACGGGTGTGTCATTTCCCTCCCAGCGAACGGATTGTGGCGTCAAGTAACCTGAGTTCTCCTTTGACGCCGCCAACCTTTCCCGTTCGCTGGAATGGGAAGCACTGCGGCCCCGAGAATCTCCAGTGCGAGGAGGTGCAAGGTTGTTTGGACGAGATACATGAGCCTGCATTGGCGGAAGATCAGGTAGCGGTTTGTTTTTTATGTCGTCGTCCGGCGGCGACCATGACCGGGACCCATTGTCCAAAAGACTATCGAAATACATATTGAGACACCCTCCGATCATACCACGGGTTTGATTGGCCGTCAAAGGAAACACTGTTGTAAATAATTAGCATGTTTTACAAGTCTATAAAGCAAAATTAGCATTGGCGGTGTTACCTTTACTTGCCAACTTGGACGCTCCACCCTGAGACGCTTGCGAGGGGTTGTCTTTCGACTCATGAGACATCGGCTCGAGGTCTGTGACCATCAAGCAGTCGGTGCACCTAAACACCTTCAAGTGTCGAGGCCACCGGACAGTAGCATCACAAGTCTGGCACTTGCCCTCGACAATATCATTTCCAGCTGCTGCACCTTTCCGAGGACTTGACGACTCGGGCTCTAATGGATAGGTTACCTCATCGTCATCATCATCGTCAGAGTCCCAAGTCGCATGCTTGGGGGCTGCCTTGTCCCGCTTTCGCCCAAAACCAGCGAACGGATTGCTGATTGAGCGTGAATGTCCTCGGTGGTACGAATTCTTAGGCGAACTGCCGTTTAACGGGGGCATGACCGAAGCATCACGAGGCCGAGCTATGCGGCGTGGGCTGATTTCCAGTCCAGGGGTTTGAGAAGGGTGTAGTTCAGGGATGACAGCGTTGCCAGCAGTTGAGATCGGGGGGATAGGCGGATGACGTTCAGACCGGGACGGCATAGAGGCGCATCAAGTTGATTGGGGTTGTATTTGACCAGATTCACCCTCTCTGGTATTGTATCCAGCTCGTGGAGCTTGGTCTTCGTGCCAGACACATGCGAATAGCTCAAGGAGGACGGAGTGGGGATCAGGCAGTCGAGTAAAGCGAGCTTTGCTTCTTTGTTCGGTAAATGACAGGTTGGTCTATTGCAAGGATAGATATTCAGTAAGCAAGTCAAGTTTCACCAAATAAAGAACACTCTCACCTTTGATAGAAGAGTGATATGTGGTTACAGCAGCATTTCATAGTCTGTAGACGGATTGGGAAAGTGGCCGGGGGATGGATGCAGTTCATGCCTCAGGCGCTCAATTTCTATTTATGGATTGGCCGCCGGAATTCGCAGGCGAGACATCTATTTTTGTGAGACAACGCACATCCTGGTGGATGATCTTAATTAAAGACAGCATTTGGCGTATAAGATTCCCCAATTTGCAAGACATTTTAGCTCCTAGCCATAAATGCACTAGACCACTTGCTAGCGATTCGCTAAGGCAAACTACTCTCTAACGGCGGTTCGTCCCCCGCAAGTACGACACTAAGAGACGAAAACCAGTCAGATTTCACGATAGACATACATAGAACTAGACAAAAAATATAACACTAATTCAAGTCTACTCATTCTACGATACCAGTGGCATGGAGTTGAACCAGTCATACTTCGTTAATAGGGGAATTGAAAATAGAACAAGATGGCTTTTTGGCTAACAACAGAGCCGGCTGGTCTGCATTAAAGTTGAGCCCAGCGTGGATAACACTGTCTGGGAAAGAAGTGTTTGAATAAATGACCACAGGCCGTAACCAACATTTTCCAACCGAAACCACTGGGAAAGTGCACTATCGCACTTAACGGTAACGCCAGTAGCTCTGGGTGTTCTGGCGCTTCCAGGTGTGGCGGCGACCAGCCTTGGTGTTGTTGTAGCGGTGACCCTTGTTGATACCACGGGACTTCTTGCCAGTGGCGGTGAGGCCACGGGACTCGCGGTGCTAGAAAGAAGAATCTGATCAGCAAAGCTCTCGAGCATCATAACTGGATTTCGAGCCAAACTCACCTTGTGAACGGAGTTACAGATCCAGTTGATGCGAGCATCACGACGGATGGCCTTGTGCTGGGGATCGACAAGGATGACCTCGTAGTACTTGTAGGTGGAGTCCTGGTTGATCCAGTAGGAGTTCAGGACGCGCAAGTTAGCAGCGCGGCGGCCAACACGCTCCTCAGCGGTGGACTTGAGAGCACGCTGGTACTTGAGCTGGTTAACACCGTGGTTGGTGGGCTTGCCTGTTCACACAATCGCACATTAGCCAAAAAAATTCTTTCAATTCCCACAGGTCTCGAAAAATCTGCTTGTCGATAGGAAAAGTTCGTACCGTAGGTGGCACCCTTGGAGACAGGGCGTTTGCGGCCACCGCGGCGGACACGGGCACGGTAGATAACGTAACCCTGCTTGGCCTTGTAACCGAGACGACGGGCCTTATCGGGGCGCGAGGGGCGCGAGGCACGGTGGATGGCGTTCAGCTGGCGGAGCTATATTATGCACTCTCAGCAAAGTTCAACGAGTGTATAGCAAGACACATGAATCCCAAAAGGGCTTTCTTGCGTGCCACAATCATTTCCGCCGAATGACTTTTGTTCGAGCCGCCTAGCAATACCACATGAAGACGGCATATCCTAAGGCAACGCACACGAGTGCTCGGCGGAGATGTCAGGCAATCGGGGGCGAAGGGTTTTATCTCACCTCCCAGCATCGGACGCGCAGCAGGAAGCGAATCACATCGGACTGCTTCTTCTTCTGGATTTCTTCCACGTACTTGAGGGCACCCATCTGGACGGTTGTAAGTCAGAGAAATGCACTGGCGGTAGAGATGGTATTGAATGAAAAATGATAAACGTACCTTGTCGGCTGTACGAGGTCGTCGGTTGTCGTTGTCGCAAAAAGTTCGAGGAGGAAAACGTCTAGAGGCAGAGGTTGTGTGTGGGACGCTAGCGATTAGCGAGTTGACCCACCTTAGCCAATCACGGGATGAGCGAACTTAATGCCTGTAACATCAGGTGTCAATGCCAATCCACTGCCTCAGGCCGCAATTTCTAAATTGGCACGCTTTCGTTCATTTTCTTACTTGGGCAATATTGAATGAAAATCAAGGGTTAAAAATGGAAAGGCTCTTCTTGAAGGATTACGCTTTTTTACGTTTTGCTCCTAGGTATTACCGCGTGGTTTGCGTTATAGACCATGGCTAGAAGGAAAACAAGACATCCATATTAAGAGTTTTTTTTTTTTTTTTTTTTTCCAAGTCCTCAAGGCCGGAAGCACTATAAGAAGTATAAGAAGATTTTACATCCATAATTAGAGAAATTTTGTATAATCTGTTTGATTTTGAGATACATCTCCAGATACTCAATCACGATGGGAAAAAAACATCATACAAAAAACCTTAAGATCGTCCAATCAACTCGCTCCGTAAATGCAACTAATAATCCTCGCTCTCTCCATGCTGGCATCAAAGGCATAATCTTCCAAAATTAAAAATCAAAGAACAAGCAGTCTCATGTGTTGCATTCAAGGGCGCCTCGAAAGATGCTCTCGTTCAACCATTTCATTGGTCACTGAAATGTAATATGATCCCGCTGGCAAAACGCTCTTCTTGCATAAAGGACAAAGACAACAGTTCTGGATCAAGAATGGATCGATGCACGCTGAGTCAAATATGTGTCCGCAAGGAAGCTCGCGGATAGTAGATGAGCCAGCGACAAAATCGTCGAGACAAATTGCACAAGTTGTTTGGGTATGACTTAGACGGTACTTGCTTCTGCAAGAATCATTCTGTTCAGATTTGATGATCGCTGCCGCGGGTTTCTGGATGCCAGCATAATCCTGCACATGGCTGTCTTCATTGGACGATAGCGAGTAGGTCTTGTCCCCAGAGTAATGCTCGATTGGATTCTCTGATGTACCATCTTGTGGGAGCGTTGCTTCTGTTGGAGGTTTGATCTCCAAGTATGTATAAAGTGGCATTTTTCTAACCACTTCTGGGGGAGCTGTCATTTGGTTCAATGCCAAGGCCTCGATGTCGACTTGACCTGCATCAACACGTCTCTGGAGCTGAGCCCGTCTCTTGCGCAGGACGAGTCGATAAATAATGATTAGGATAATACTGAGTATTAGAACTGTTCCTGCAATTGCAAGTACGAAACTCCAGACGCTCGTTGACGAAGTTGTGGGTTCTTCACCTACGATATGTGAGCATATATTTTGATAGTGACGCATTTCCCTGACCTACCAGTTTCAATCCTAGCAAACAACCGGTTTGTCTTGGTCTGTAGTGCAAAATTGTCGGCCAAGTTTTCTCTCTTGTCGTCAGGTGTCTCGCTTGAATACCACGTGAGATCATTGATCAATGAGGTTCCAGCTGGGCCTGGAATAGCATACACCGGGTAATTGTTGTCCATTCTCCATTTATCTCCATCGTTGATTGTCCACCGAGGGTCGTTCGAGTCAGGTGGTATGCCGGTATCGTTATCTGATGGTTGGAAAAAGATCATGGCATGCGTGCCGACCTTTCGGGCGGCAGAGAGGAATGATAGCGAACACTCGGCGGTTACCCATGGAGCAAGGCCAACGAGGGAGTATCCGAATTCTGACACATCTTCATAGCGGGTCACATTTAACGGCACAGATGAAGCGGTAATGTCATAGCAAGGATCATGCGGCTCTAGACTGGGTACAAACAAGAGGCCTGATACCAATCCGTCTTTGGGAATGCTGTTGCTCGATATCGTTTGGACCTTGCGGTCAAGAACAAACCGATAAGCAACATTCTCCTATTCAATTATGTGAGTCAGTTTCAGCCCCAGAGGCTGATGTAGATTCTAAGTGGACAAGGCATGCTTACTTCGACTGACGAGGTGGAGTTTGAAGCTTGCCCTTCACCTGCCCAAAGTGTAGCTGCTTTATCCACGGAGTCATTTCGCGTGGACATAGTAGCAGCTGACATGATGTCTGATATTAGGTCAAGTGAATAGCGAAGACGAATGTCAAGTAAAGGATAAACTAAAGGCTAAATGGTTGAGACCAGTGAGGAAGGCGTGTGTGCATGGAGGAAACAAGTTGAAATTTGAATATGGAAAAGTTTGAAAATATGGCAGCCACTACGGTTTTAGGTAAAGTCCTTTGAGACGGCACTCAGCCCTGAAGCATCCCATACATCCTTATTGCTAATTAGAGCTCTACAACGGAAGAATGCGAGAGTCAATCGGGACCGTCACAGGAATGTAGAATAAGCCTGGTTCCAACCACGAGGCAAGAGGCAAAACGTCTTGGCTCAAATACACTAAGTTTCACATTTTCGAAGAAATCTCCGTGAACGAGTAAACAAATAAAAATGGCCGAGCGCGTGGTCTACGATCGTATACTTCGCTACACATGGCCGTTCGCGGTAGACCGTTTATGGAGATGATCATCAACAGGCAACTCTTCGGCAACTCTTCAAGCTTTTACACTTGGCATTTGGATTTAGCGAGATTGTATTATAAATAGTAATGCTTCAACGCTTGCAATTCATAAATGACCTCGTTTGCTCTCTAATTCTTCATCCCTTTGAATGTGTTCGGAATAGCCGACATCGGGTCCTATCCGCAGAACTGTAGGAATGTGTGTCAACTTTCAACCTTAACCGCATTTTTGGGCGATAGGCCATGTGTGAGCCTTCAATTGGTGAGGCGCAAGAGAGGCGCAAGCCTGGATAGTGTGCTATAGAATGCAAATAGTTGAATCATCTCACAAACACCATGTGCTCATTGCCAAGTGCTCAGCCAATGAATCGAGTGTGGTGCACGTGATGATAGGCCTCGTATCGTCATCACGTGTGTATATCCTGGCCGACCGCCAGCGACCACCAACCATCATCACCTCTGGAAAGTCATAATTTATCCGTGACCGAGAGGATCTTTTTCTCTGTATCTGCTTTAGCTCATGATCAGAAAACTTTGGGGAATAATCAACCTCCTTTCATTATTCTTCACTCGCAGTGACCAATGACAGCATGTGTCTGTCTAGTCCCATTCACACCTTCTAGGATCCTTTCTTTCGATCAATCTCTCTTTTCATTGATACTGTCCTTGATATCTTAATCGTTTCGTCCCTTTTTTCCCCCTTCATCCGAACATCAGTCCGAAGAAACGCCATGCCGCCCGCATATAAAGGCAAGGGCAAAGGCCGCGATGCGCGCCAGTCGCGTAGCCGCAATACCACCCCGTCCAGCGCTAGTGCTCCCGTTATCCCAGCACTACCCATCCAAAGCTACCTGGAGAACGATGTCACCAAGCACATTGACTTGGCTAGTGTGCGGTATTCCGATGTGTTGGACCTGGTATCCGCGCAGAACATTCCAGATTCAAAAACATTAGAGACATTGGTGGAGCACCTAAAGGGTCTTAGTGACATGGCCGATCTCCGTGGTGAGGTTTGCAATGCGGGAATGCGCGAGATGTCTCAAAAGCGCAAGGAAGTGGAGGATCAGGAGCTTGATCGTGAAGTTCGAGATCGCTCCAAGTTGAAACGTGAAACCGAAGAGGACGACGATATTCATAAGGGTGGGAAGCTGAAGAAGCGGAAAGAACGCTCAAGTGGAAAGGAAGATCGGCCGTTAAATCACGGCGCCCATGAGGTCGCGCGCCAAGATGGAGCTGAGACCAAGGTTGAGGGAGGTAAGAGATCCAACTCGGCGCTTTCTTTCCACTCTTTGTTTTTACCGACCCATCTCCACAACTCTGATCTTCTTTCACTTTCCCCACTGTTCAACTTTCTCTAACCGTCAACAGCGGCTTCTCCAGCATCGAAAAACTCCAAGAATGCGATATCGGATGAAAGCTCGCTTTCACCTCCATCGATGATGTCCCCCAACGGCACGACCACTGCTGGCGAAGGCCCTCCCCCGGAACCCCCGGTTCTGAAACCAGTACCGATTCCCATCAACCTGAAGCCCAGCCTGCAATTCCTCAAGTGCAAATCTTTGGCGATAACCCGCTGAAGTTTGACGATCCGACCATTTACAACATTCGAGATGTTCTCCCAGGCATGACGGACGATGAGAAGAAAGAGATTTACAGCGTTGCCCACTTCCCCAAGACCGATCTGGCCCACATGGCAGCTGGTGTGGCCCCTGACAAGGACTTCAGCAACGCCAAACCTTCCAATCAAGTCAGCGCGAATACTTTCCTGACTTACATTGAACCTTACGTCCGGCCTCTTACCGAGGAGGACATTGCCTGGTTAAAAGAAAGGGTAAGTCAATTGCAGTCTAATTTTATGTCAATGCAAGCTGATTTGTCACAGGGTGATCGCACTACTCCATTCATCATGCCCCGTCGCGGAAAGAAAAATTATCGTCAAATCTGGGCGGAGGAGGATGGAGTGTCATACGATTCGAGTCAAGATGACAAGGACCAACTGCCTTTGAATCAAGGCCGTGGCAGCATTGAACAGCTGACTGACGATAAAGCCGAAACCAACGAAGTCTCGGTTGGACCTCTCCTCAGCCGACTCTGCTCTCTCCTCCGTTATGAGCACCGTACCTTTCCCGAAGATTCCAACCCTACCGCAAATGGGGATACTGCTAGTGTGACTGGACTAGGTGGAGACGCAATGGACATCGATCAACCCACTGAGGAGAAGGAGAAGGAGAACAAGAGCGAAACCAAGCCTCTCCCTGCTGCAACTACTTTCCGCGACGCAGATCCAAACGACTTTAAAACTTCGGTCGCAAAGCTGGACCATGCCCAACTTGACGAACGCGCCAAAGCCGAACTACGATTCATCGGTTTCCTCGGTGCAGATGATAATCCAGACTACGACGCTCACTACGACGATGAAGTAGCTGAGCGACTCCGCCTCCTTCAAAGCGAACTCAAGAAGCAAATCGTTACCAACAATGCGCGCAAAGCTCGCATTCTGAAGATTGCCCAGGAGCACATGGCCATGCTTGAGTTTACTACCATCCAAGACGACCTCGACTCTCAGGTCCAACAGGCCTATCTCAAACGCACCCGCACCATGGGCAAGAGCAAGAAGGGCGCTCAGCCCAAGCACCGACCTGGCGGCGCAGGCGGTGGCAGCCATGTCGCTGGTTCTGCGGGCGTTTCCCGTCCTGCTGTGGGAGATGCTGCGAAGATTGTCATGGACCGTCGTCGTCGCTGGAACGAGGCATTCCTGCCTATCTTTGACGATATCAAGACTACCATTCCCTCCGAGGGAGAGACAATCTTCGACCCGGAAGTTATGGCTGAGTACGAGAAAGCCGAGCTTGAGAACTGGGACGAGGAATAAATGCTCCACCCTATCCGCTTTGTTCTGGTTGTTTATCACTCGACGACCCATCTTCTGTCCTTTGGCTGTTAGCCATCCTCAACCTTATTTTGATTTATTTCCCGCACGATACGATACGAATGCATGATGGACTGGCGTTGCGTTAGCGGATACCTCTTTTTTCTGTTCCACCACCTCGAATCTTGAACCCCGTGGTTACCCATGTTGCAGTCCGCCTAAAGATACACACAGGATCTTTTCCACGTGTATCTACCTAGTTGGATGTGACTATGTCAGTGTATTCTTATTCTAAAGCTGTAGGCTTTCAATGAAACCAAATTTTTCAATCTTCAAGTTGCCAGTAGTACCCGTAGCACCTAATATATATATCCGATCTCCACAACGCCAAAAATGACAAAAAGTAGGGTATCGATCAATTATAGCAATCCAAAAACAGTAACAAAAAAAAAAAAGAAACCACCAAACTCATCTATGAAGAATCAATACCTCCCAAGGGTATCTCTTAAGTCTAGCCGTCAACTCCCTCTCACTCATCTCCAACTCCGTACAAATCTGATCAAAGCAATGGGTACCATCAAGATACTTCCCAAGAACATCATCCCCAACAACCTCATCTTCCTCTTCCCAAAACGCCGACGGCGCCCCCGCACTCCCATTCCCATTCCCACTCCGACCCCCACTAACCACCGACCCAGCCCGCTCCCGACTAGACTCCCTCTTCGCAACTGCCGAGATAGGCGCGTCCTCGGACACACTCGAGACCTCATGGGGGGTATTGTTACCCGTAGTGGCGCGCGACGACAACGCCGTCGGTGTGAACGACGACGCGCGCGGCGGAGGCGCAGGCTGGCTCGTTGCGCATGCGTATTTATGCACGCGGTACAAGAAGCCCTTTATCACGCCGAAGGTGATGAAGCGACGGATGTCGATGTTTGCTAAGGAGCGGCTGTGCGCTGCGTACCATTGCTTGACGCTCTGGCCCTGTTTCAGGCTTGCGTAGAGCTCGACTAGCGAGGCGCCGTCGACGATTGCCGGTTTGTGGAGTGTGTTTGTTGATGTTGGGGAGGTGGTGGAGGGGGTTTCTTCGGTGCCGAGGAGGGGCCAGATTTCCTCGGCGTCGAAGCGGGATTCCTCGCGTACGAGGCTTGGTGTTGGGTCTGTGAGGGAGCTGGAGAGGTGGGCTGTTCCGGCGCTGCCGTTTGTGCTGCCGTTGGCGCTTGGGCTTGGGATTAGGGTTGGGGGAGAGGGGAGGAAGGGCCGGTTGGTGGGTGTGGTGCGAAACGGAGGTTTACGTAGCGGGCACATTCTAATTGCATTGCTTCGTCGGAGCCTATTGTTGCGCTGAATTGGGCGGTTGGGGCGTAGATCGCGGAGAAGGAGAAGATGTCGAGGATAAATAGGCAGCCGTAGTAGAGGAGGTGTCGAAGGGCGCGGCAGGTGAGGGAGAAGTCTGTGTCGGCTAGGATGGAGATGATGCGGACGCTGTTGACGCCATTGATATGTGGTACGATCTGACCGGGTTTAGTTGTTGCGTTTCTAACCAACGGGACAAGATCATCTTTTACATACCCTTTGCATGGTCAAATCCCAGTTCTCGTCCATGAAGGCCTGGTATCGCAACGTGAAGAGCGGCACTTGCCAGGCCTTGACAGCCGGGGGAGAGGGATATATCGGGAAAAGTTTGATGTTCAGAGTGTTTAGTTCGTCTGGATAGATTAGTTAGCAGCAGGATCATGCTAAACAGGTCGATGGACATACCAATGGGAATCATGCACTCGCAATAATTGTTCAAGTCCTCCATCAACATCTCACAAAGACTATACACCTTCCCTTCGCCACTCTTCGAGAAATCGCGAGACAAGAAACCATTCTGCTCTTCCAGACCATGCATTAGGTCTGCTAGCTTCTGCACCACGCTCTTATACGTGCTGAAGTCGTCCTCCTCGGCGAGGACTATGCAGAAGTTGAAGATAAATTCATTTCGGTCATACCGCACTGACTTCATGCAGATTGGGTAACCCAGGATACGATATCCGTTTGTGCAGACTTGCAAAAGATTTCCACAGAGCTCCTGGCGGGGGATCACGAAGAAGGAGACATCGGAGAAGGTGAGAAAGGGTGGCTGTGAGGGGGCGGTGGGGGAGGGTACGATGGCTCCGTCGGGGACTTGGTGGACGACTTTTGGTCCTGTATGACAGTACATAGTGAGTATATATGCAATTGAAGGCTTATCATGGTATTGAAGGTCCTTACCCTCTATCGTGTCGAATTTACTGTAGAAGATTGCCTTGATCATGGTGGAGATGCTGTATGGTAGGGAGTGATGCTTATAATCAAACTGGGTATGAAGAAGCACAGTCTATCGGCCAAATTCAATCAAACATGGAGCTAAAACGAGGTTCATGTTCATGTCATAGAGATCAGTTGCGGAGCGGACTTCGGAGCGGAGAGCTTATCGAAATCAATATTTCCCTGGCTATTCCAAATTAAGCTAGACCATGTAAATCGTGTGTCTCTTATTGGCTAATCCCGGTTGGAGCTTTAATCACGTGATATATGATGCTCTATCTATCCCCGCACTTTGTTTACCAACTTACCCTCATTCCGCAATAGCTTCAGGGTATCTCAGATATATTCTATATCTTATTTTTCCCTATGCGAAGGTGCTCCGCTTGTCACTTTGAAATCGTAGTCGGCAAGTATCTATATTCTTCAAACAATACCAACCAGATAAGATTGGCTAATCTTGGGTGTGGTATTTACTGGTCGTGCGTCGAATCCGACATGTTGCTGGGGTTTCAAAACATGGTGTATGGCACCTTCATCGGGCATAATAACGCGGGTAAATTTATCGCAGGGGCTATCCTCCACCGGAGCTGGGAATCGTTGTGTGTGCTAGAACATCCATGGCGGCTATGTCCTCCTCGTGAACAGGGTAATGGGTTCTCACCGATGCGGATAGATAGGGGTACACAGCTTGTGGTCAGCACTAACAAAGATGAGGGTGTAGTATGGGAGTTTATTCGGGTCGAAGATGAGGCTGCTATCTGATTTGCTCCTTTCATTTCCAAGCACTAGCTTTTTCGAATAATGTTTAATATCAAGGAAGATCAAGTTGCATCTCGAGCTCTACAGTACCCATCTATCGGATTATCATGAGCGGAAGTGATATTTAACAGATACATTTCTGAGTAAGTTAGAATAACTTTTGCCGTTTACTGAAAATCCTCCGATTACCACGTTGAATATGAATATACCCGGCAAAGCAAACAATAGAAAAAGCTAACGAGTCAAATAACAAAGCAAGGCGAGGAACAGGAACATGAGGGTATTGAAGGAAATGAGACAAGAGAAAATGAAATCTATGCGTAAGCAACAGACTCTTCTGGAGGCATAAGTCGAGTAATGGATATAGATAAATAAAAGCAAAGGGAACCCCGAGAAGAAGGAGCCAGTCCACTTCAGACAATGCGAGAGAGGTAAGATGCGCCGTAAAAAAATGCAAACACGAATCATAGTGAGGCCCTGATCAAAGGGTCTGATCGAGTAAATAGTATGCAGTCATTGAGCCGTGCTAGAGGCATGATTGGATGTAGATGGAAGAGCAGTGTTTGTTGCGATAATGCTGTCTGGCACCGTGAACAAGGTCGCCCTTGTCACCACCCGAGCCGCACCACGACCGCGTGGGAGTCGGACATTGTCAGCGACAAGAGTCAAGGGCTGATTCGCACGAATGGCATGCACCATTTCGCCGAAACTGCCACGCTCTCCAGCCTCCTTCAACCATTGTTCCCAGTCTTCATCGAGCGGGACATCAGTGCCCTGATCACGAGCGGCCATCGCAGCAAGGATACGGTTGTTGAGAGCTACCCCACAACTTTCCATTTCCTCGTCGCTGAGTTCGTCTTCGATTTCGTGCTCCTCCTCGGCGGACCGGTAACTAGAGGCACGGGAATCAACAGCACGGACCGTATCATTGCTCTGTGTCTCGATAATCTGGTCATCTTCCTCTTCTGTCCCGCAGAAGTCGCAGTCGTTGAAGTGGATCTCGATTGAAGGCGCGGGTTGCGGGGATGCCGGTCGGACGGAGTGGGCTGTGGTATCCCGTACGGTAACCCCTTCTTCTGCCTCGTACCGCTGACGCGCGGACTTGGTCCCTTCCCACCGACACAGACTGGAGATCTCCTCCTCTGTCAGACCGAGTTCATCAAATGTTTTGAAGAGTTTTCGGTGCCATGGGAAGCGACTCAGTCGCATGCGATGCGGTCCATACGAGTAATCCAGCCCCGGGTATTGTGCTTCGATGCAGTCTAGCGAGCCGTAGAAAAGGGATGTTTCGACACGTACTTCTGGGACGAGGTTTCGGGTAATGTGCGCACCAAATGAGCCTGGGTCGCTTGTCCGAGGTCGTGGAAATGTGGCGTTATACACGATCTGGCCCACGGATGGTTTACGCATGATGAAGTTCGGATGTGGAGGGAGTTAAGAGGGAAAAGAGCAATTTAAGGAGACAAGGTCGTCCCAGACACCTTGGAATGTGATGATTCAGGATATCCGGCCCTGAAGGGTTTCCCCCTTGCCCTTTGTCAAATTCCCGGATGTTTGGACGTTTCGGATGTTTTGAGGGGTTGGGAGAGTTGCTTCAGTTGTTGATGGGGGGTAACACGCTAGAGAAAGCGTAACAGTAAATTCCCAAGAATATAACAGAAATGCTTCTCAACCTGGATTTCTCGTAATCCAGGTCAATGTATATAAGAAATTAAAGCGAAAATCCCGATCAGGTGCCCCAGCTGACGTTTCGGCTCTTTGACCCTTGAGGAATTGAAGGTCTCACAGGCGTTCCATTGAGAATTAAAGAAGGAAAGAAGAAAAGAAGCAAAAGAAGGAAAATGGAACGAAACAAGAAAAAGAAAAAAGAACAGAATAGATTGGGAGAAAAAAACAGGGCTTGCAAGACTTTATAACTAGTTCCTAAGTGAAGTGTGCGTTGGCATGGTATGGCCACAATGCACGGCCAGTTGTTAAAAGGCGTAGACACATTCCTTTTGGATCCCAGTGGACTTTGCATATTTACATGTGGGTAAATATGGTCGAATCATAATGTTCTGAATTATAAAGATTCGACAGGTTTAGAGACATTTCTGACATGTTCAGACAGGCCCTTTTGGGTTTTTATCTTTGCATCACGTGGTAATACCTAGGTAGAGTACAGTCCAACACATCTTCTGGACAACATTAAATAACCTTCCAAGGTTGGTGCAGGTCTGACCTCAGCTTCTAGATATGTTACCATGTCGACCTTCGATGGTATCGTAAAAGGTGAGACCGACACTTCCCACGTCACTTCCATACTAATCATGCGACAGAGTTTCCCGACATTCGCAGTAAGTCTGACCTATGAGATCAGTCAAACTTACGACTAAGAAAAGCAGTTGACTACTTTCGGAAATGCCCAGAGCGGCCGGCGCCACTAGCTTGCTTCCTTAGCCATGTGCATAGCGATCATTTACAGGGTCTCGAGTCCTTTCGGACACCGTTTATCTACTGCTCGCCGGCCACCCGAGAGGTATGCTCTTGTTTATCCTATTGAAATTCTATAAAAATCCATTAAACTGACCATGTGTAGCTGCTTCTCCGGATTGAAAAATATCCCCACCGGATGAACTTTAATAAGGGCATCCTGGAATCGCGCCGACTGCACTATAAGCATCTTGCAAAGCTTCTGGTTAGTATCGTGTGCAAAAATTTGACCAGAATTGAGAGCTCACTCCGTACAGCGTCCAATTCCACTGAATACCCCAACAGAAATTGAACTCACACTCCGACGTCATATCAAGGTGACATTGTTCGATGCCAACCATTGTACCGGCGCTGTGATGTTTCTCATTGAAGGGGACGGGAAGGCAATCATTTACACAGGTGACATCCGAGGTGGGCCGATGATCTCTCGTCTTCATTGGAATGCTGGCTGACCACCTTCAGCCGAGACATGGTGGGTGAGCAGCTTGCTCCGTCATCCGGTCTTGATACCATATACTCTGGGTCAGAAACGGCTGGATAAGTTGTATTTGGATTCTACCTTTGCAAGCAAGACAAATCCATTTCGCGAGTTTCCATCCAAAGCCGAGGGACTGTCTGAACTGTTGCAGAAAGTCCAGGCTTATCCTGACGATACAGTCTTCTACTTTCGTGCGTGGACGTTCGGCTATGAGGATGTCTGGATAGCGCTCTCCGCTGCGCTGAACACAAAGGTAACTAATACCACGCAGCTCAAATATAACACAGGCTAATCAAACATAGATCCATGTAGATCGTTACCAGATGGGACTTTATCGGTCTCTGGTCCAAATTCCAGGTAATAGAGGGGTTAGTGAAGCTCCTGTCCTCTGTGGTTTTGAGCTGGGAAACAGAGCTGTAACAGGCTGCCTAAGCAACAACGAATCAAGTCGAATTCACAGTTGTGAACCTGGAGTATCATGTCCGGTAGCTCGTGGTGCTAATGTGGTCTACATTGTGCCTATTGTGAATCGCACAACTGGTGGTGCGGAAATCCCCGAGGTCGGTGCGGGCGGTGGTATTGGGGATCTGTACCAAACACATGAACTCGAGCTGCCAGACGAATTTGCATTGGCCGAGTTAGAGAAGTTGTGTCTCAAACACGTCCAGGACAAAGAAGCCCTTTCTCAGATACGGAATTCTCTCCTGGATGCCTTCCGGTCGAGAAAGAAAGCACTATCGCTTGATACATACGGTGTGAAGGAGGAGGGCGAAATTTCATTAAAGAATCTGGTGACTGCTCTAAGCCATGGTCCATCTGATACTTCTAGCCGATCATCCCAGCCAGATCTGCCTAACACGATAGTAAGTAGCACTATGTTTTCTTTCGGCCGTCTTCTCTAATGGCATTATAGCGATTCCCATATTCACGACACTCTTCCTACTCCGAACTATGTGAGCTGGTAGCTGCCTTCCGACCCAAGGACATCCATCCATGCACCGTGGATCCAACAACCTGGAACGAAGACGTCTCCATCAGACGTCTGTTCGGCCACCTCTGTTCAGGGACCGACTTTTCGCACGACAGCCACATGCGGCAGACCGTAGCTAATGATGTTGACGATGAGGGAGATTTGCGCGCAAGAAAAAGGGCCCGATACGACATGGACCTCTCCACACAATCCACACAAGAAACCAGCAGTGGCATTGAAGATTTTAGTCTTGGTACCGCCGATGCAAGCCAAAATCATGATCAGAAGCAGGACTCCCTACACCAATTGAGTCAATCCGAAGAGGCGGCCAGAGCTAAACGTAACGAAATCCGTCAAGCACACCGCTATCTTCAAGAACATGCAGAACCTGGCCTCTTTCAGGTCAATCCTCTCCCGTCTACATGGCCGACAGAAAAAGAAGACGGATTCGATCCGGCCACTGGCGAGGGAACTGAAGAAGAGGATACGCTCACGTCCGACCAGCCGGATTTGGAACCTTCGACTACAGGACTCCGACTCAAGTCCGTACCAAGCTCATCTACAAGAATCATTGACCTAACTAGCGATGGTACCACATCTCCTCGTCCAATAACCCAACAAACAGATAGTCAACAAACAGATAGTCAACAAACAGATAGTCAACAAACAGATAGTCAACAAACAGACATACTTTCTCTCTCTATCTCCGAGTCGGCATTTGACTCCTCGGACCAGAATTCGGTTGAAAGTGGACTACCAAGCCCAGTACGAAGAGAAGAAGCTCTAAATCGCTCGCGCCGTGCGCGTGTTGCTGCTTACTTAGCTGCCCGCGAAGGTACTTTCACTGCATGGAGCGATGTTTCGCTTGTTTCGGCGGATAATCATGGTGAGGAGGAGATTGAGCTATAGGCTTGACCGTCTTTTCATATTGGTAGGCGGATGGATCTGTTCCTTTTTTTTCTATCTTCTTCAATTTTACTGTGTATGATACCCCCTTCTGCTATCTTGTTATTGAATATCGATCTTGTCACCTGGTGTTCGCCAATGGAACTATGCCTAGACACCTGGAAGCTGGATATTTCATAGGAATAGATCACTGTTTTACAAAAAGAACTACATGCTCCAGATTACTACATTACTTACTATACACAGCAATATTGGTCCACTTTTGAGGGGCTTGGTTGGCCGAAAGTTGGCCGAAATTAGACCACATTGTCAAGACAAATCTCAAAAGCTAGCGAGTAAACCATCGATATCAGTGATCTGATAATTGGACACATAGAATGAAACAATGGCCTTGCAACGTTAAAATTATAACAAAGGCTTATTCGGTGTACCTTGGGACCATCTTCGCCTTGAATAGTAACTTCTTTCAATGTCATGGCAGCTTGCAGATATCAAGAACAAAGAGAACAAAGAGTCTCAGCAATAAATCATATCTCTTTCATTCCTTTCTTCTTGACAAAGGCTTTGTATCCAGTCTGATCAACCCCACAAGATACAAATGCATATATAGGCCCCAATTCCTGGACCATTCCGAGGTATCATCCGCTTCGCAGTTCTTCTTCCATCAGTACAACCAGCTTGGCTTCACAGCTACGCTACTCTACTAACCCTAACCAGGTAAGCAACATACCCACTTCATCTACTCATTTCTCCCTCTATATCACCACAGCCCATCACGATGCCTGAGTCTATCGCCAGCCGACTTTTCCGCGGTACTCGCGCCATCCTCAAGTACCGCAAGGAGCGCGGTATTCTGGTGGACAACATCCGCACCTACATCGCCACTTTGCGCCAGATGCCCGAGGGCAACTACCTTATCGAGGTCGCCCTCAACGTCCAGTCCCTGAAGATTCAAGCAGACAAGGTGAAGTGGGCTTCCCAAGATCTTGCAATCGAAGCCGCCGACATGGCCTATGTCACCTCCCATGGTATCGAGCACTTCTCCCGCACCATCCCTAATCTCTGCAACGAGATCGGTCGTGATACCCGCCGGCTGGCCGAGACTCTCCATGACCATATCCACAAACCTGTTGTCAACACTGAGTACATGGTCGCACTTGAGCTGGAGCATGCACTTGCTGACATGGGATATATCTAGATCGGCATTTATACATCGAGTCGTGGGCTCTTACCGCGGCCGCACCTACGTAATCCCAAACCTGCGCCTCCAGCTAATCCAACACCTCGACATCGTCGCCTCACTCTCAATGAAGATGGCCATCGACAGCCGTCACCACCCCTACGTCCTAGTCCACCAGAGCGGCTTCTATGAATCCGTTGTTCCTATGCACTGCGCCGCGCTGAGGGGCCAGTGTGCCCATCTTGCGGATCGACTGCGCGATAACCTTAACACTGATGTTCTTGTTGCTGTGACGAAATTGATTGATCAGATTGTGGCTAACTTGTGCTTTTAGATAGGTTTGGAATTGGATTGTTACTTATTACCGGTTTATTACTATTATCCTGGTTTATCGTGTACATTATTTTCGACGTACTACCCTTTCCTCCGACGTTATGCCTTCCCGATTCGGCCCAGTATCGCAATTCAAACACGAGCATGCGACTTTCGTCTTCGATTTGGAGATGCAGGCTAGGATTCTGAGGGCGAATCCCCAGGCTGGTGGGGATGTTGCTGAGAATCTATATGATCTTGTTGGTAGTATTCATCGGCTTAAGGATGCCTCTATGGCTATGGCTGATGGTGCTCGTGGCAATGCTTATGTACTAGCGAAACCGTACGGGTTTTATAGTTATAACGTACCGTGTATGTGCAATGATATTGTTGCGTCTTTGTTGCACTGGGCGGATATTCTTGTTAATACTGATGGACGGAGGACGGACGGGATTGTTGTTGATTCTATTGAGAGGATGTTAGCTTCTCTCGGGGTTTAAGAAGAGAAATTAGACAGAAAAAAAAAAAGCAGTTTTACTTATTGACTTATATGTGCATCGTTTAGACCAGTAGAAGTAGAGGTAGAAGTAAAGGGATATAGAATTCCTATATCACGTAAAAACCAACTCGGAAGAGCAACGAGGTATATAGGAACTGTAAAAACCAAAATCAAAAGCTAAGGGTATGCAAGAACAAAAGTCACGAAACAACTCAGAAGATATAATACGCCTGCGTCAAAGGCAATTCCGAAGCCGGCTCTGCATCACAAAGCATCCCATCGGCCTCGACAGTATAACTCTCCGGATCAACCTTCATCTTCGGCATAACATCATTAAACTTCATATCCTTCTTCCCAACGGAACGACAATCCTTCACGGCCTCAATCCGCTTCTTCAATCCGTATGTCTGCACAACACCCGCATCAATAGAAGCCTGCGAAACAAACATAATAGACATAGCCGGGACGCGTGCAGCGAACATCGGCCGCGTAATCATCGGCTCGACAGTCGGGATCGATGCATTTGGATCTCCAACTTCCGCTGTAACAATCATTCCGCTCTTCAGGACAGAGATGGGTTTCGTGCCGAATGTCGCCGGCTTCCACATTACCAGATCGGCGACCTTGCCCACCTCCACGGATCCGATGACGTGCGCCATTCCTTGTGCGAGAGCGGGGTTGATCGTGTACTTGCTGATGTATCGCTTCACGCGGAAATTGTCTGCGCCGCTGTCAGCATCGGTGCCGAGAGGTCCGCGCTGTGTCTTGTTCTTGTGCGCTGTGTGCCAGGTGCGGAGGATGACTTCGCCGCAACGGCCCATTGCTTGTGAGTCCGAAGACATCATGCTGATAGCGCCGAGGTCGTGGAGGACGTCTTCGGCAGCGATGGTTTCGGCGCGGATGCGGCTTTCCGCAAAGGCTACGTCCTCCGGGATGTTCTTCGATAGGTGGTGGCAGACCATTAGCATGTCGAGGTGTTCGTCAAGGGTGTTGAGGGTGAAGGGACGGGTTGGGTTTGTGCTGCTGGGGAGGACGTTAGGGTGTTCGACGACGGAGATGATGTCTGGGGCGTGGCCGCCGCCTGCGCCTTCGGTGTGGTAAGTGTGGATTGTGCGGCCTTTGAAGGCTCCAATGGACTGTTCGACGAAGCCGGATTCGTTCAGTGTGTCTGTGTGGATCATGCACTGTACGTCGTATTCATCACAAACTTCGAGACAGTTGTCGATTGCTGCTGGGGTGGAGCCCCAGTCTTCGTGGAGCTTCAGACCTGCTGCACCTGCTAGGATCTGCTCTCTGAGACTCTTCTTTCCGCAGTCGTTGCCCTTGCCGGTAATGCCGAGGTTTATCGGTAGACTGTCGCATGCTTGCATCATCTGGCGCAGGAGGTTCGGCGACGGTGTACATGTCGTCGCGTTTGATCCAGTAGTAGGACCAGTACCACCGCCGAGGAAAGTGGTGATTCCCGAGGCCAGAGCTTCATCCACCTGTTGCGGGCAGATCAAGTGGATATGCGTGTCAATACCACCAGCGGTAACAATCTTGTTCTCTCCAGCAATGACATCCGTAGACGAGCCCACCACCAGGTCAGGATGCACGCCATCCATAACATCCGGGTTTCCAGCCTTGCCAATACCAGCAATAAGACCATCCTTGATACCAATATCCGCCTTGTAGATACCAGTCCAATCGATAATCAACGCATTCGTGATAACGGTATCAACACACTCGGTATGAGACCGATCAGACGCCTGTCCCATACCCTCGCGCAGCGTCTTTCCTCCGCCAAAAGCACACTCGTCGCCGTAATTCGTCATGTCCTTCTCAACCTTAATCCACAAATCCGTCAACCCAAGCCGCACCAGATCTCCCGTCGTAGGACCGAACATGCGCGAGTACGCCTCGCGCTCCATGGAGAACCCAGAAATAAGAGCACTATCCGCCTGCGGCTCCGGCACATGCGCAAACCCAGCTACCTGCAGCTTGGACATGATCTCATCGGCACGACTCATATCCACCGGCCCATTCGCCAGCCAATTTCCACCACGAATGATGCGATTTCCACCGATCTCAACGAGCGTAACCGTCTTCGTATCACCGGGCTCGAATCTGATCGATGTTCCTGCGGGGATATCCAGTCGGAAACCGTACGACTGCAAGCGATCGAAGTGCAGCTGCGGGTTCGTCTCGATGAAATGGTAATGCGATCCGACCTGGCAATCAAATACTGTAATTAGCATCACTCATTTCCGATATCTTTCCTTTTTTTTCGCTTGTATATCGAATACAATGTACATACCTGAATCGGCCGATCTCCTTTGCTCATAACCTTGAGCCTAATCCGCCTCTTCCCAACACTCAATTCCACGCGCGCATGTTTGGCAGGAATAACCGCGCCGGGCATCTTCTCGGGCATGAAATCTTGCGGGTCCGGGTCTGGGAATGCCTCGGGCGCGGGGACGGGCAGGAAACTTCCATACAGGGCGCGCGTGAGATCGCCTTCGTCGCTACTGATCGGGTGGTGCACTGTTACCAGGTAGGTACCGGAGGTGAAAGTTCCCTCGACTTGGAGCTCAACGAGGGTTGCTAGTACGGAGGGGGAGGACGTGGCGGCGGCCGAGCATTGTTTTGCCGATGGACATAAGATCGGCGACGGAGTAGTGGCCATCGCGGATTAACTGCGGGGGTGGGTTTGGTGTTAGTTTGAGCGATGGATCAATTGGGTATATGTGAAATATTGTATGTTCCGGTGTCATTGTAGGGCATTGGATGGGGGTATAGCGTACCTCGTGTAGCACTGAGGATATCAGGGCCTAGGGGATGTGTTAGCGGTCGTGCCCTAAACCTGTAGATCGTACACATACCACAGCTTCTGCATGGTTGAGCCGCACTCCACGTGCTAAACGACGCTGTGCCAAGAAGCCTAGGTGGGCGATGGTGAGCTTGTCAAGCTGCAGGGGTGTTAGTTGTGTTTGTGTCTCGGGAAATGTATGTGCGACTTACCTCCTTCGGAATAAGCTGCATGGTTCATGTGGAACCTGACCCTGGCAGTTCTTGGCGTGCAAGATTATTAGTTTTGGAGGCAGTTTTGAAGCGATGTTGGAACCTCAAAGTAAGTGAAAGCGCAAAAGATACAATTCCAGGAGAATCCCAAAGAAAGTCAAAAAGTCGAGGAATGTGGGGATGCGGTCCATTTCAAATGGCCGGGTGCTTGCTCCTCTGATAAGGTCATTGACGATGATAAGTGCCCGCAGAGGCCGATTGGGTCGGGGGACGGAGTTCGGCGGCATTAGTCAAGGGTTTTTGAAATTGATAATGCACTTGGATTTAGCCTATTCTGTTCTCTGGTTTAATTTGGTTCTAAATTCTTTACTTTGATGTTTATAGCAGGATGTTCTATAGCTCTGGTGGAAAGGTAAGGTTGGACCCGACTATACAATATAGAGGGGTAACTATATTGCTCTAACCCAGCCATGGATACTGATACTGGTACTCATGATATCTAGGAACCACATCCCATGATCAGTCCAATTCACTAAATCAAGCTAAGTAGGTACAGTTTTTCCCCAAACGCCGCTGAAAAAGGGCAAACCCGGGGGGGTTACACATCCAGTCCACCAGACCGAGTCCCATCTCATCTGACCCTAGGGTCAAGCAAATCAGAAATCAGAAAGCAGAAAGCACCAACAAACTCATTTACACCTCGCTCTTGCGCTTCTTGCTTCGGCGACCCTTCTCAGCGGGGGTTTTGACAGCCGGTGTGGACACCGGCTCTGCAGCCTTACGGCCGCCCCGCTTGACAGGCGACTTGGCAGGAGTCTCAGCCTCCTTGGCCTTGGGATCGCTGCGGCGACGCTTGGCGGTGCTGCGCGGGGGAGTGGGCTCCTTCACGGGGGAAGGAGAGTGGGACTCCTCAGACGATTCGGTGGACTCATCGCCAGACTCTTCGGGCTCAGCTTCAGCCTCACCCTCAACATCGGCCTCGGCCTCAACCTCGGGCTCGGCACCGGCAAAGTCCTGCTGCAGTTGCGTGGCGGCGGGATCGTGCTCTTCGTCAATCTTGTTGCCGGCCTTGTAGGCTGCCATGTCGCGCTTATACTGGTCGTAGTTGGCGGCATACATCTTCTTCCAGACCTATGCGGATGTGTTAGCACTATATACTTGCCAACAATATCAAGCTGGGATTGCTTTGTTCGCTGTCTATACATACCTCCTTCTGGGTATCTTCCATGCTCTGCCAGCGGCGGGTGCCCTCGTCGGCGACATCCTTGGGGCGCGCGTCACCGCCAAGGTCATCGGCAATCTTGCTACGGTTGTGCTGCATGTACAGGAAGTAGGGGGTCAAGGCACGCTTGGGCGCATTGGGGTCGACGGGCGCGCGCTTGCGCTTCTTGGGACCACCAGCCTCGGACTTGGCGCCGGGGCTACCGGCACGGAAGGGAATGTCCGGACCCATGAATCCAGAGGGACCGATGGGGAGCTCAATGGTGGCATCACGTCCTTCGGTGATGTTGTTCACGTGCTGGACGTAAGCCTTGCCCAGGTCGGCGATGTAAGATTGCACCTCCATCAGGCGCATGACGATCTATGAGGCATTGTTAGCGATGCTATTTCGGGAGTAATTGCGCTTGATCATTTTATGTATGTATAGGTATAGGGTTAGGGAAAGCAGATGGCAGTTAGGCAGCGCGTAAGTTGGCACGAAGTGTGTGATGTCAAGACAGGTGTTTCGGGTCTAAAGGGGGAGAAGGGGTAGGGAATGTTCTCTTTTTTTTGCACATGAAGCTTGCCAACATGGTGCAGAGGTATGAGATGGTACAAGTTAAGCTTTAATAGCTTATTGGGTAGCTTTATAGATCCTCGAACGCGACGCGTAGCAGGCGCGCAGTGGGGATGCGCACAAGAAAACAGAAAAAAAAAAGAACCGAAACAAAGAAAATGACAAAGTCAAAAGGTAAAATGAGAGGGGGGGGATTACCAAGTCACCAGCCCGTCTGAGCTCTTCTTTGTTGACCTGAACGGTCGTATCATCTTGATTAGAAGCCATTGTTATGAAGCCGAGTGGTTGGTAAGAAAAGAGAATTTTCTTGTGTTTCGGGGGGAGAAGGGGGGAAGAGGACCGGGGGGGTGGAAGGGCCGAGGGGGGGTGTACCCACTAAATAGCAAAAGGCCACCCCGAAGTGCCCCGGGCCATTCTCACGCTGCTTTAGGCTTAGGCTCTGTCATGAGACCACCCCCGGGAACCCTGGGCAACACAGTCAGTCTCCTTTATATTATCCATGGTTCTATTCTATATTATAGATATTATAGATAATATAGATATTACAGATATCAGATTCATTTCTTAAACTATATCATTCATATACATTCTTCTATAACATAAACAGTCTACAGTATTGTAGGGCTAAGTTATTAATAGATACCTAACAACTTGCATAACGGTCTCTTAGGCGGCCCCCCGAGGGGTAACCCATGAGCCACCTGGGCATGTGGGCATATATACCCATAGACTTGTAGACCTGTATACTTGCTAAGGAAACAATTACGTATATAGTTTGAAATTTTTATTTCTTTATGTAAATTCTCATGGTCATTTTGTTATATCCCATGCCTATTTCCTTACAAGATTGCTATTTCCCTACCCATTTCTCTTTTCTTAGGGCAGGGCTGGGAAATGTTCAGGTGTGGGCTATGCTCCCCCGCCGAAATCCCAACTTCAGGGTCGCCCAAGCCCGGTAGAAGAGGGGCTCAGCTGAGCACAAGGTGTCGAGCTTGTAGTACGAGCGGCTGTTCTAACTTCCTATTTCAATTCGTTGAAACTGCCTTTCTAGTTTCTTTTCCCTCCGGTGTAGATGATTCTAGTGTACTTTCATAGGCTGATGCCTGGTTTTGTCGCTTAGCTACCAGTAGGTATTTGATGTATACATCCATGTATGTAGGGTTTAAGGGCAGCTTGTACACTTGTAGGCGACAATTTGATACATTTTTGGCTGTAAATTTTTTTGTTTTACTGCTATATTGCTATATCAATAGTGATTTGGGACTATTTGCGCTGGTCATGTTCTATTTTATGATGGTATTCCCACTGGGTGTGCACATATATATATCCACCCCCTTCGCTATCTTCATCACAGGCCCCACGCCTTTCTTCTTAACGTATTTACTTCTTGCTATTATTCGCGCCACCAGAGATAAATACACCTACTAGATACACGTGAATTTTATATATATCTGGAGACAAAATGTATTTCTTAAATGAAATGACGTCAGAGACGCGGCAACACGCTGAAAACAAGATGCACCAATCTATATGGCTATCCCGTCGCATATCTAACTAACGACATATTCTAGTTACATGCATGTATTGTACAATACTCTAGAACTTGAAGACCTGGTCCTTGTTGTAACCAAGATCCTTCAAGATACCACTGAGTTCACCCTGGTCCTTGGGGCTGACCTTACCGCCGGAGATAGCCTTGTACATGGGGGGAGGGCCACAGACGAAGAGCTTGATGTTCTCCTCCTTGGGCTCGGGCAGGACAGTCTTCAGCAGCTCTTTGCTGATGAAGCCCTTGCCACCGGTCCACTCCGCAGGGGGGTTGCTCAGGACGTAGAAGGCACGGAAGCGCTGGGGGTAGGTGTTCTCCAAATCCTGAAGTTCCTTCTTCAGCAGGATATCTCCTTCGCCGTCGTTGCCGAAGACCAGAGTGACCTTGGTCTTGTCCTCGGGGTTCTTGAAGATCTCACGGGCGAGCTGGTACATCGGGGTGATGCCAGTACCACCGGCGATCAGGCAGATGTGGTTGTGCTTGTTGGCCTCCCAGGGGTACTTGACAATAGGTCCCTTGAAAGACAGGCGCTGGTCGATATTCATGGAGTGCAAGTGCTCGGACATGGCGCCGCCGGGGTAAGCCTTGACGACGAGCTCGAGGTAGCCGGGGATATCTGCCATGTGTTAGCAGTTGAAAACCAAGTAGGGTCCATTTTAATCCTACCCTCATCACTGGTGGGGGTATAGGGACGGAGGATGTTCTTCTCAGCACCCTCGGGCTTGAAACGGGTCAACAGAGCAGCTAGATGCGTGTTAGCGATCGATTGGAAATCATCCTTGGAGCCAGACTACTCACAGGCAACGGGAAGGCCAGAGACAGCCTCCTTATCATCGTACTCAAAGCGAAGACGCTTGGTGTTGTGACTCAGGGTCTCAATGTTGGCAAGCTTGAGGTCCACCCAGCCCTCACCGTTGAAGACCTTGGGGCGCTCCTTGGGCTCAGCAGCCGCGCTGGTGCTGTAGCGATACAAACCAGCACCGAGACCAGCGAGACCGACACCGACGTAGATGGGGGTTAAGTTGGCCTTCTTGGGAGCGGCTTCAGCAGAGTACTTGCGCAAGCTCTGATTGAATGGCGGTTAGTATTATTCTAGGATTGAATTGAGGACCTAATCCAACGAACCTGTTTCAAGGGCTGTGCACAACGGAATGATTGACGAGCAAACATGATTGCGATGAATTGGGGGGAATGAGGGTACAAATAAGTAGAAAGCTTGGAAGGGAACCTGGGAGTTCCTGGAAGGTCCCGCGGGCCCGCTGAATCGGCTTACATATGCGAACGCAAAAGCGAAAACGGACGCCCAGTCAACTCCCGAGGTCCCTCCCGACATGATTTCGAAGGATGCAGCAAAAAATTCCGGAGGTAATAAATATTCGAGTAAATATGATCATCATGTCTCAGCCTCTATTCTTGACAGGCCAAAGGAAAGACTCGCAACGATGTTGTAGAATGGCAATTGAACTTATGTAGATACGGATAGTTACGGATTTAGTTGATGCATGCCTGATCTACAAGGCACTAGGATTCGGTCTCGCTGAAGAAAGTCCGATATCTGACACTTACTCCGTCGGGATTGAAATTGTAATGTATAGGGGAGGACAGGAACGATCAATATGTACATATGTAGTATATGACTGACAGTAAGCGATTAGCAACAACTACATTGTGTACATCCATACGACCGCATTATGA